GGGATATTGGGATAATCCCTGCTGGGAAGGGGCTGCCCAGCCCTGGAGGGGATGGAGCATCCCTGGGGATGTGGCACTTGGGGACACGGGGATGGTTGTACCCCCCTCCCCGGGCTCCGAGGGCTTTTCCCGCGTCAGTAATTCCATGATTTCCCCGTGTGAGGGACGTGGCCCCGGAGCTCCGTCTCCAGCCGGGAATGGCTCCAGGGGAGGCTTTTCCAGGTGTTTAGGAGGTGTCAGGGGGTCACACCCCCCCCTTGCCCCGGGGCCCTCCCAGGGAGCCTCTCCCGGGGGGTCAGGTGTCGGGAAAAAAAGCTTGGAAAGAGCCGGCGTGGGAGATTTCGGGAGGCCTGGAATGCTCCCGGGGCTCGGCTGTTCCAGACAAACCTGGGAAATCCATTAGCGGGGCCGTGGGGGCGGCTGGATCCCGCTCCGGGCTTTGGGAATTCGGTTCACCTGGAAGGGCACCGGGAAGCCTCATCCCTGAGCGGGGACAAAGGGCTTGGAGGAGGCTCTGGAATAGTTGGGAATGTCTCCTCCTGCCTTCCCCAGGCAAACCCACCGGGGGGGGGAAAGGCACGGGCAGGGCTGGAGACGGAGGGAATGCCGGGAATAACGGGAATGTCGCAGCCAGGGGTTGAGATGGGAGCGATGGGAGAGGAGGGAGCAGGGGCCTGGCTGCTCCTGGAGAGCTTTTGGGAATCCTGGATGATCCAGAGGGTCTGGGATTGCGGTGCCTGGTGTTTATAGGGATGTGTTGTTACTGGAAAATCCAGAGGGTCTGGGATTGAGGTGCCTGGTGTTTTTAGGGATGTCCTGTTCCTGGATGATCCAAGGGGTCTGGATGGCCTGTTCCTGGACAATCCAGAGGGTCTGGGATTGCGGTGCGTGGCATTTTTAGGGATGTCCTGTTCCTGGAAAATCCAGGGGGTCTGGATGTCCTGTTCCTGGACAATCCAGGGGGTTCTGATGCCCTGTTCCTGGACAATCCAGAGGCTCCAGGATTGTGGTACCTGGTGTTTATAGGGATTCCCTGTTCCTGGACAATCCAGAGGCTCTGGGACTGCAGTGTCTGGTGCCTTTAGGGATTCCCTG